CATCTTTAAACACACGAGTTTTCTTCATCTAGAAGCTGTTTCTACTGTTTCATACTTTTTTCTGACTCCATCCTTCCTCTTTCTCCTTTTGAAGACCAGTGATAATTAGGCCCACCTGAATAATCTCCATATGCTAAAGACAATTGATTAACAACCTAAAATAAAGTGACATGTAACCAAATATATTCAGAGACTCTAATCATTAGAATATCTTCAAGGGCCATTGTTTTGCCTACTGAAGACTGATTTTTGTTTTGATTTTGCTATTGTTTTGTTTCATTTTAAACACAGTTAAGCTCAATTTGCTCATGTGACCCAGGATCCCCACTTGTAAGTACCCACCCTAAAGAAAGGAAAACATGCTCACACACACTCACAAAAACCTATTCACACAGATTTATGTCAACTCTTAAAATTTTTATTTACGTGTTTTGCCTGCATGTATAGCATTGCATGCAGTACATGCAGAATCCAGGAAAGGGCATCAGATCCTCTGGAATTGTGAGCTGCCATGTGGGTGCTGGGAATTGAAACTGGGTCCTACGGAAGAACAACCAGTGCCCTTAACCACTGAACCATCTCTCCAGCCCCTTATGACAACTTTATAATCACAAAAAGCCTGAAGAAAACCTTAAATGTCCTTCAGCTGGTGAATGGATAGACAAGTGGTGGTACATTCATACAAGAGAACACCGTGTTCAGCAATTAACCGGAAGGAACTGTGGACATGCTCAGCATGGCTGAATTTCAGATATATCTTGCTAAATGAAAGGAAAGCAGAGGAGATGCTTGCTTCAGCACAAAGATACCAATACCGGCAAGATAGAAATTAGCCTGGCACTTAACAAGGATGGTATGCAAAATACATGGAGTATTCCACACCTTCACACAGACTTGTAAGAAATGGCCAGTATAGGAAGAAAAAGACCACTGGGCAGTGGTGATGCACACCTTTGAGCCAAGCACTTGGGAAGCAGAGGCAAGCAGATCTCTTGATCTCCAAGAGTTGGAGGCCAGCGTGGTCTACAAAGAGAGTTCCAGGACAGCCAGGGGTACCCAGAGAAAAGAAACCCTGTCTCAAAAAACCAAAAAGAGAAAAGAAGAAGACAACGCTAATGACAAAACAGCTAAAGGAAGCAGGAACAGGACGAAGAAAGTGAGTGGGCTGAAAACCAAGGCTGCTGCTGACAAAGGGACATCTGAAGGAGAACCTCCGGTTCTAACAACACTCAACATCTCCAACGATTCCCCCCACAAAAGAACAAAGATTCCACACCTTTGTGCTACACATGGATGCAGTAGGTATATGGATCTTTCACAAGACAACTGAATAAAATGTAAAAACTTCAAATAAATGACAAAAAACCCTCACTATTGCTATGATTACAATGAAATGATATCTTAAAAAGAAATTATAGGAGTAGGGTGCTTTAATCCCATTACTCGGGAGGCTGAGACAGAGTGGTTCTCTGTGAGTTCGAGGCCAGCCTGATCTACAAGAGCTAGTTCCAAGACAGGCTCCAAAGCTACAGAGAAACCCTGTCTCAAAAAAAACAAAAAAAAAAAAAAAAAAAAAAAAAAAAAAAAAGGAAGAAAGAAAGAAAGAAAAAAGAAATTCTAGGGAGGGAAATCATTAGTAGATTAGTTGCCAGGAGTAAAAAGACTTTAAAAAACGGACAACACACAAAACTTTTCTGTTTGTTGATTATGACAACACATAAAATTTTAATCTTTATTTATTTAGCTTTGTTTGTTTGATTGGTTTTTTTCGAGACAGGGTTTCACTGTAGCTTTGGAGCCTGTCCTGGAACTCGCTTTATAAACCAGGCTGGCCTCAAACTCACGGAGATCCACACGTCTCTGCCTCCTGAGTGCTGGGATTAAAGGTGAGCACTTTTTAAAAGAACGAAAACAAATAGATAATTTCTCATCTAAATGGGCAAAAAATATAAAATATGACGATGGTATAGTGGGTAAGGATGAGAAATCACTTCCCCTCATATACTAAATGCAGGAACAAAAGTCATTTGCTCTTGTAACCAGTCAAGTGAAAAATCAATCTGTTATCAACAGTTCCCTTTATAGGTGGTATACATTTTGGGAAACCACACTGTTTTTCAGAGACATACAGAAGGATATTCATTAAGCATTGTTTGAAATATTAAAAAAAAACTCTTCAGAATAAGGATGTGGTTATAAAAAAAGAAAAGGCATTCTCCCAGGCAGTGGAGGAATGACAGCCCTGCTAGCTATTTATATGATATGGAGAAAGTAACTGACTGATTTATTTTGCAATTAGATAGAGTGAGGAGCTGGGTGTGGTGGCACACCCTGTAATGCCAGCACTTGGGGAGTCTAAGGCAAGAGAGTCAGTTTGAGGCCAGTCTGGGTTATACTACCAGCCCTACACCAGCTAGGGCTACATACAAAGCAAGATCCTGGGGAGGAGAGGGGGCAGGAAAGTAGAGGACTGCCTAAGGTGGGATACCAAGACAAGCGCATAGCATTCGGTTCCAACTCACCACCACTCCTCAACACTTGTCTACGAACCTCACTTTCCCATCCCTGGGAGGTGGAAAGGTTGGACTATACACACAACAAGATTACTTCCAACCTAATGATCTTGTAATTCAGTAAGTATATAACATCACAAATCCAGTACAGGCAAAATACTACCAGCTTGAATTTTTTGTCTTGATTGTTGTGACAGTAAAATAACTTGTTAAGCTTACGGTGCTCACTTGGGTCAAATCTGAGTGCAGACACTCATGTGAAGGTATTCTGTAGTGATTAACATATGTGATCAACTGACTTCACGGAGATTATCTTCAAATATGTGAGTTTATTCTTTTTCATTTGTTTTTATTTTATGTGCATTAGTGTTTTGTCATGGGTTTCAGGTCCCCTAGAACTGGAGTTACAGACAGCTGTGAGCTGCCCTGTGCGTGCTGAGAATTGATCCTAGGTCCTCTGAACCTAGGTCCTCCGGAAGAGCAGTCAGTGCCCTTAACCACCTCTCCAGACCCTATATAAGTTTATTAACACACGCTATGCACGTGTTACAGGAGAAACCTCGACAGAAGAGAACTCTGGCTTCTAAAGTATCTTAAACAAACAACAGCAGGATTTTAGAGATTCCAAAACAAAACAGAGAGCAGGCTTGGCTTTTGGTTTTCACTGGTAGGGAATTATGGAGAATGAATCTGAGGGTGGGAGAAGGAGTGTCGTGTGTGTGTGTGTGTGTGTGTGTGTGTGTGTGTGTGTGTGCGCGCTGAATGACTTAATTATTTTTATTATAGTGCAATAGTGTTTTGCCTGCATGTATGTCCGTGTGAAGGTGTCAGATCCTCTAGAACTGGAGTTACAGTTGTGAGCTGCCATATGGGTTCTTCCCAGGAGCAGTGAGTGCTCTTAGCTGCTGGGCCACCTCTCCAATTTCTGAGATTTTTAATCAGACTACAGTTCAGGGGGCTGGAGGGCTCAGCAGTTAGGAGTGCTCTTGCAGAGGACCCAAGCTGCTTCCCCAGCACCAACAATCGGTGGCTCATGAGAGCCTGTAACTCCAGCTCTGGGAGGATCTAATACCTTTGGCTTCCATTGTCACTCACGTATAAATACCACCCCCAAACACATAATTTGAAATAATTTAAAAAAAAAAAAACACAATTCAGAAGATGATATGGATAGCTAAGCTACTATACCGATTCGGATCACCCTGAGGTGGAGTTAACTCTCTCATCTACTTTAACATTCTAAAGCACTGTGAGTAGACCTTTACTTGCCAAATTCAAGGTGATGACCTTTAGTTATTCATGAAAAAAAATTTACTCAATTTTTAAAAAAATGCCAATCTCTTCATATTTTGTCTGTTTTACCTATAAAGCACTTAAAGTTTTAACGTTAGCTTGATACAACCGTTTAGAATGACCCTTAAAACAAGAAATCGTGTCCACAGGACGCCCATAATATTCAAGAGTATTTACTAATTTTCATTACCACAAATACTTATACTTCAAAGATACCAACACATCACATAATTTGTTCCTGTTGCAAAATTTAACAGGTTATTAATTTCTGACATAATTTAAAAGGATAATTAGAATACTATCATTAAAGCATGATACTGCCCTATTAAAACTAGAAATACCTTTCACCTTGTCCGCTAAATCAAAACTTTAGAATTCTTGGCACACTGGCTTTCCGAATCTAAATTCTTAAAACTCTAACACACTCCTAAAAAAACCCTCCTAGCTCCTGCATTCATTTTAAAGGGTCTTGGAAAACTTTTCGACCGAAACCTAAATTCCACACACATTACTGTGTGTCAATCAGTTGGACAGAAGGTGAGCTATCCTTAGTAAGTTACATAATTTGCAGTAAAGATCTGTCCAGGCGGCTTTCATTGAAAGTGACTTGCGACCATTTTACAGGCTCCAAAGTTCAACTGAACAACCTCCCTGGCAGCTTAAGAAAGCCCTATGGACACCGGGCTTTCTTCAGCAGCGGACACAAGGAAGCAGGAACTGTTTATCTGAAGAACGCAATGAGTAGCAGAACACCAGGAGCTGACTCAGGCACAGGAACGCTGGCTGCATTCCGTCTTCCCCGGGAAAGTGGTTCCCCGGCTGGTTCCGCCACCCGCCCGGGGAAGTGTGTGGGGGGGGGGGGGGGGGGGGGGCGGTGAGGCCCCGGGAGTGGGGACTCTGCTCCCGGCGGCACACAGGCGACTCCCTGCCGCGCCCCCCGTAACTCCGTCCGGGCGGCCCGCCACCGCGCCGAGCTGCGTCCCCGGCCCGGGGGGACCGACACCGCGCGGACAGCGATCCTCCGGGGGACAAAAGCTGGGGCTGGCACCACCGAGTCGGGGCTCAGCTTGGGTCTCCATCGCGGTGCGGCGGGTCGGAGTGGGGTACGAGCCCCGCCGCCCCTCCCCCGCTGCGCTCCCGGGGACCTGTTGATCAAGACCGCCGCAGCCCCGCGGCAGCGGGTCCGCCCCTTACCTCCGCGCCCCGGTGGCGGCCGATCCGCTCGCCCTAGTCGCTCCTCGGCGCGGCCCGGGCGACAACCCTCGGGCGGGCCGCCCTCAAGACGCGGGATAAAGAATCCAGAAACTCCCGATCCCCCCCGCGACCTCGGAATCCCGGAGTCCCCGCCCCCTCCCCACCGCCAGCCTCCTCCGTCGCCGCCGTCGCCAGCAACTCCTCCTCGAGACCGCGCGAGACCGGCCCCCGCGGCTGACGCGAGACCGCGCACGCGCCCCCGGGACCCTGGCGCAGCGGGCGCGCCTATCCCAGGCCGTTCCCGGCGCAGCCCGCCCACGGCTCGGAGAGAGGCTGGACCGGATCACCCAATCCGGAGCCGGCTCCGGGGAGAGAGCTCGCTCATTGGTCCTCTCTGGGCTCCGGGCGCTCGGCCGCGCGCACTCCCGCGCCTCGAACTCCGAAGCGCTCGCTCGGACTGCGGAGTTTCCTCAGCCCACCTACCTCCTCGCTGAGGAAAACCAGATTCCCTCTGAAGAGATTCCTCTTGTCGTGTCAGGCACGACAGAAATGCTGACACTCCCTTAAAAAAATGACGCAAACACCTGGTTGTGTTTGAATCAGGTCCCACAGAATTGCCTGATCCTGCAGACGACTCCTTTCTGAAAATCGGGACTGATGCCCAGGGCCTCCGCTGGTGTCACAGAATTCTCCGGAGAGGATCTGGAGTTCCATAGGCCAGTCTGTACCCAGTGCGAGACCATGCTGTCAGGACGTGCCTATGCCACGGTCTGGAAAGGGTGGGCGCCAAAAGTGCTAGGAAAGCGAGTTCATGAGGAATTGGATTTGGAGCAGACAGACTATCTTCTGGGCAGAAACCTCTTCTGTTGGGCCAAAATCCATTGCTTCAGCCTGTTGAGTTCTCTTCAGGGGCACAAGGCATAGACAACTCTCCCTTAATGCCTTCTTGTATGCGAGTTGATTTCCTCCTACCGTGGCTTTTAGGCATCCTTCCCAATATCCCCAGGTCCCTCCCGTCGGTTCACAAACTTACCCTTTTCACCTTATAGACTCTTAGTGTCCTCAGGGAACAACACCATGTCCTCCTCGGAATTAAGCACACCTCAGTTCAGGTGCTCAACATCTTTTTTGGAGCCCTTCCTGAATCGTCAACCTCAAATCTTATTTGCATTCTGTTCATTAGTGTTTAGTAAGACAGAACCAAGGACAGAACTTTGTTACCACTAAAGACCGCATTCGTTCTCTCGAGCATTCCTCAGTGGACTCTGAGTACAGATGGACAACTTCCAAATTAGTTCATAGTCTTCAAAAAGAAGTGAGAATTTGTGAACTGCAAGTAAACCGTTGTCTCCAAATTTCTGGAAACGGATAGCCGTACACAAAAGGTTAGTGTGTACTGACATTTTCCCCTACATTTTTAAGTACATAAAACACAGAGTAACAAAGCCTCTAGTTCCCAAAACGTTGTTTTTTTTTTCCCTTGGAAATATTGACATTTCGGCTAGTTTACTCTTGTTGTGGAGCCAGTCTGTGGTTTCTGTCCACTAGAGATGCCCAGGCACACCTCCCTTTCCACCCTTGATAGCGATGCTCACAGACATTGCCTGAGGATTGGACCACTGGTATAGCTTTTCATGCAAAAGGTCACTCTACATAGTGTTCTTTTTTTTTCTTTTTACAAAGATGTATTTATAATTGTTTATTTGAGTGTTTGCCTGCATTTATGTAATGCACCTTGTCTGGTGCTTGGTAAGGCCGGGAGAGATCTTTGGATTCCCTGACATTCAGGTTATAGACAGCTGGTGCTAGGAACTGAGCCCAGGTTCTCTACAAGAGTGCCCAATGCTCTTACCCACTTATCTTTCCAGCCCCCTAGAGTGTATCCTTTTTCATGCCTTCCAATAGCCTGGTCCAGGCAGTTTTCCGAAACATTTCCTCCTAAATGACCCCCCTGCTAGGTACCTTGTCCAGCTTCCCTGGATGTTTAGGGAACTGTTGCGGGCTCCACTCTGATAACATGACGATCAGGGTGAAATAATAGACTGCTGCTGCTCTCAGAGTGTGGCAAGGAGCCGCTTGTTCATCCTGGCCGCCCGGCCGCCCACAACCTCTGCAAGTACGAACAAACTGTATTCCTTTACCTCCTAAAGGTACTTTCATTTTTTTAAAAAAAAAATGAGACTATGGAAAATAGGAAATCTATTCTTTGGTGAATAAAACTTTTTCCAGAACCCCACATCACACTAATTACTGGTCTCGTGTGCATTAAAGGAGTAGCCGGAAGAGTGGAAAGTATAAAAGTTGCAGGCAAAGTGACTGGAGTTCTAGGATGTGATGTGGGACGAGCCTTCCTGGGCTGAAATGTTCTCATTCGTAATGTAAGGTAGTTTTTGTTTCCGGTTTCGTGCTGGTAGCTTCTGCAAGTGGTGTCTAAAGGATGGCATGGGAGTTAAGGCAATATAGCATTCTTCCCAAAATGGAATAGACGAGGCAGTCGATCCTGTTTGAAGAACTGTTCATCCTTCTCTGAAGAACTATCCATCTGCTGGGTCACCCTGGCAGATCTGAAACTGAACATTATGGATGAAGAGAGAAAGTCAAACTATAAAATCTAGTGTAAGAAGGAGAACAACCATAGCAAATACCCTTCCTCCTCCTTCGTCTTAATATATGCTTGTATCATCTGCCAGTATGTTAGATTAGTAAAATGCCATGCTATTTTAAATTTGCGGGAACACATTAACATTGTATTTTAGCCAATTGTGAAAGTCTAAAATCTCACACCTCAGATTTCAAGATTCTTCAGTTTTATCATTATCTTTGAAATCCTTAACCATGGACATTATATGTTACTTTTGTACTAGAAAAAGAGGTTTAATAACTGAATTAGTTGCCTAAACACTTTTTTTCTTTTGCTAAAACAGACTCTCAATATATAGCCAAGGCTGGCCTTGAACCTGTAATCCTTAGCTTTCCTAGTGGTAGGAAGCAAAACAAACAAACAAAAAAATCCATGTGCATCCATAGACAGGATTTCTCTGTGTAACAGCTCTAACTGTCCTGGAACTAGCTCTTGTAGACCAGGCTGGCCTCGAACTCACAGAGATCTGTCTGCCTCTGCCTCCCAAGTGCTGGGATTAAAGGCATGCACCACCACTGCTTGGCTTCTTTACTCATTTTTAATTGTATGAACTATATATAATATAATTTAAAATCAGAATGTTCACTGAGTAAGGCACAAATTCATTGTCGTAAAACAAAAAACAAAGAAGTTGTAAAAAACATTTGTTTCTAAACTAAGAATATTAAACAGTTCCACTGTCTATAATTAGCTTCTGTTCATTCAGTTCAGGTCAGTATCTTTCAATGAATTGTCCTTAACTAATGTTCACTCTTCAGTCAGAAGTAATTGAACACTCCAATGCAGCAAGCATTGTGCTGTAGGAACTGAAGCAGCTGCTAGCCTCTGTCCTGGAGCAGTTCACAGTACGGGGAAGACTGACAGTAAGAAAGCTTGGCTGATGGAAGTAAGGGACCAAAAAAACAAAAAAACCCAAAAAAGCAAACAAACAAAAAAAGATAAGGTTCTTGTCAAGAGGAGCTTTACTAACTAACTGGGGGTAGGGCTGGGGACAGAGAATAAACTGCAGTCAGAATATCTACAATAGTAGGGAAGTAGGGAGGAATCAAAGGCTACGGAATCTGTTAGACTGGAGCAGTAAGTGTGAGAGATCTACTGTACAAATAGTGTCCATAGTTCATCATCTGTGGTATACTTGAAAACAGTAAATGTTAAGGTTCTCACCCAAAAAACAGCATGTGAGGAAATATTAATTAGCTCAGCTTACCCAGTCTATAAATGATGCATTTTTGAAAACATGTTACATATCACAAATATATGCCGTTTTCATCAATTAAATTTAAAATAAAAAATAGACATTTGCATTAGTCCCTTTTCACCCCTGTCTTACAGTGTCTGAGAAACACAGGAAACGGCTTGTCTGGGCTCAAAGTTTATGTCCATGACGATTTATTGCCCTGGCTTTTGGGTCCATACTCACGGATGTGGGAACGTGTATTAGAGGAAAGCAGCTCACATCATGCAGGACAGAAGGCAGAGCAACAGAGAGGGCGACCAGCCTGGAAAGAAAGGATTCCCTTCAAAGGCACATGCCCAGTGGCTTCTTCCAAACAGGCCCTACCTCCTAATAACCTATTCAACTGTAATGTCCGTTCTATGCATTAATCCACTGATGATGCTGACCTCGTCTCGGGGTTGGGATTTGAGAGGGACACTGAGGCAGATTGTTCTTTTGGGTAAGAGGTTTATCAAAGAGTTACTAATGCTACGGACAGACAGACAACACTATGGCAGGGTCTCTGAGATGTCAGGCTCCCAGCTACAGATAGGCAGACAGCGTGGCAGGAACTGTTGGGGCTCATGAAGCAGAGTGGGGTCTTTTCTCCTAGGTCTCTAAGGAAGAGGGAATCGTCACAATACTTCTGACAGTTAGACTGCCTTTGATTCTCTGGGCTGGGAGGGGAGGGATCCTGCATTCCAGGGAGGGAATGAGTGACTGTGTCCATGTAGGGGAAAGTCATGTCCATGAAGGCACATTTAGTTAAGGTATACACCTATACCGGTAGCCCTCTGATGTCTGACAGTCTGAGCCTTTAAACTTCCTCCAGGAAGTGGGAATCGAATTAGGATATTGCTTTTGTCCTGGAATCGGGGCACCTGGGGAGTCTGTTAGGGAGTTAAGGATTCACAGACAGGCTTTAGATAAGAAGTTTCCCATTCCCTTTAAAAGATGGGTAAGAAAAGGGGTTAGGGCAGGTAGGTGTGGCCTGATTAGCCCTTAGCTCAAAACCTAACAACTCCAATCATCTCTTAACTGTCCCAACCATCTGGGGACCAAATCTGTACCACATGACCCTTTCGGGGAACACTTCATATTTTAAATACAACAGACATAAACTGTTGTCTGAATTTGAATGACAAGTACACAGAGAATAGAAGTCTGAATTTATTAGAACAAAAATGAGAAATAATCCCAGTATAAGATGTTCAATATTTAGGATGTTAGTCATTCATCATACTTTTGTTTAGACATTTCTTAGTGGCCCTATGTCAAGCTGAATAAGGCATGGTTAGCT